CACACACACACACACACACACACACAAATTACGCACCTGCCACTAGTCAAGATGATCGGGTTTGCTCAAGCCTATAATACCATTATACATGTTTAAGTCACTGCATATCACTACAGCTATATTACAAACGTTCTTACTTGCCTATGAAGACCGAATATCCCGTGCGCTACGTTGCAGTGTCACAAATGCTTGTGTACTTACACTATCGCTCTCGTGTTTGGCGGCTTCTGCCCGTAGAAGCTGTACGGGCTGGATATTTCGCACAGCTCACAGGTGAACAAGCCGAGCGCGGATCCTCCGCTCAGATCCATGCCCTCTAACGTGCGGTTCTCGTGCTGCACAGCGTCGGCGCCGTTTGTTTTGAGTGAGCACGCCTTCTGAGAGCGCGCCATGTTGCTGTGACGTCACGACGGTGCGTCAAGCGTTTCCGGTTTATAGTTTCCGCTTGCAGTACATCAGACAAGACAGGGGATGGCGCCAGAAATAACACACGCTCGTTTCCCGTGTTTAGAAACATATTTCATGAACGTTATATTTAATTTCAAACTACAAACACCAGATCAGTCAGTAACTGCGCACCCAAAAGAAACAAATGAACATGAAATGGTTCATTACACTGCAGCAACCGAAATCTACAGAGCATTTTCTCATCAAGTGTCTTTGTGGATTGTAGTAGATTTGGCTCTAGATGCTATGAAATTTAGATTTACCCTGCAAAAGTATACGATAAAACAATAATTTACCGATCAGTACTAATTCAGAACACGTAACACATTTGTACAGTAAAATTACAGTTGGAGTGCTATACAGTGTACAATAATATTTTTATACAAAAGATTTGACAAATTATGTTCAATGTACAAGCATTTCTAATGAGTAACAAATCTGATTTATATTGCTCTCTCTATACATTTCATTCTAGCATTAAAACATGGTATGACAAATCACCCAATATTCAGGATAGTCAACTCTATATTTTTCTAGAGTTTTTCTTGACTGCTGGTGCTTATTTGGCAGAGACCAGTGTTGCCAACTAATTTTCAGGGGGAGTTGCTAAAGGAAGGTCGATTTGTTGCTAAATGACGTTGTGATGTCATTGCGAGATGACGTCATTACGTAATCACGACGCAAAATTGTCATTACATCAAATCTCAGCAAAAATATATTTTATGTTAATGTAGATTTGGAGACGGCGTCGACCGCTCTGAAAGTTATGTTTCGTTAACCACGCCCCCTGTATATCCGAAACCCCGCCCTTCAAGATTTACATCGATGGAGCAGGAGAGCAGCAGCACATCATCTCGGTGCGGCCAAATTTGTCAAAAGCAATACATGCCAACTATGCTCTCGCACTACAAACAGCTGCTTATGAAGCTGAATATGGCTCTTTCATGATCTACTGCCAGTCTTCAGTGAGCCGAGGCATCATATGTGACCCTGGACCACAAAACCAGTCATAAGGGTCAATTTTTCGAAATTGAGATTTATACATCATCTGAAAGCTGAATAAATAAGCTTTGTTAGGATAGGACAATATTTGGCCGAGATACAACTATTTGAAAATCTGGAATCTGAGGGTGCAAAAAAAAAAATCTAAATATTGAGAAAATCAGTTCTTAGCAATGCATATTACTAATCATAATTAAGTTTTGATATATTTACGGTAGGAAATTTACAAAATATCTTCATGGAACATGATCTTTACTTAATACCCTAATGATTTTTGGCATAAAAGAAAAGTCAATAATTTTGACCCATACAATGTATTTTTGGCTATTGCTACAAATATACCCCAGAGACTTAAGACTGGTTTTGTGCTCCAGGGTCACATATGTTTTTAGGGATTTCTATATATTTTGAGTGCCATTCGCTCACTGCACCTGTAATTGAAATCCACTCTTTGGCAAATTTACAAAAGATCTATGGGACTATAGGCATTGACCTTATAAAGGTCCGTGCCCTATTAAAGGTTAGTGCTATATTTTTCAACCTAGAATTACGCTGGCTTTTCCCTGTAATGTCCTGCCTTCCCGAGAATGGCGACGCTCTGAGCTCAGTACATGTCTCTGTAGATCTCCTGAAGAAGCGGGTGCAGTGAAGCATCTTCCGTCTTGTTGATGTCCTGGACCAGCTCCGCGTGCTCCGTCACCAGCTGCCGCAGGTCGGCCAGTTTCTGCAGCAGCTTGGGAAAGAGAAAGGTGTTGTCGGGGTGGTTGGACACCAGGTGACTATAACACTATTGTCTGATTTTGCTCTATTTCGTCGTCGAAAATAGTTTGAAACAAAGTCACAGCTCAGCCGCTGCGCATCTCCATTCAAACACAGCGGTGTTTCGTTTATGAATGAACTGCGTTTTTAAATGAATCTAGCGAGTCAGTGATTCATGATTACCCATTCATAAATACTGTCACTTGCTTCATTCCTGAATGATTCAGCCGTTCGAATGAATCAATTGAATGAATGATTCAGTGATAAAATCAGTGACTTGTCGTCACCTGCTGGCGGATTTAGTTTCATTTTTAAAGTATCTTTTCAGTTCTTTAAATCATTTAATATTTCTATATTCAACATTTTTTAAAACATTAATCTTTTAATCATTAATCATTCAATTCATTAATAAACATTAATTTATGGATTTAATTGCACTCATGCCACCTCTGATCCTCATTAAATGTCTGAAAATACACCTACAAGCCCCTTTTGTGTTCTTCTGTGCTACCTCTGTACAAATTAATTTTAATACAGATTTCATTTGATTAGTAACTTATTCTTCTTATTCTACTTGTTCTTATTATATGGTTTTATCTAGAATTTTAAAAAAGCTTATAAAATTATATATATTTTTTTATTTGACATAAAAGATTACATACTTTTAATAAAGATAGAAAAATGCCATTACGGTAATTAAGGTAAAAACAAAATTCTACTGTAAATCACTTTAAGGAGTCAAATATCACCTCGTAATGGGAAGGCTATTTTTTTAATCAAATTTTGGTGCTCCTAAATTTTTTAAGTTAGGAGCATAAGCGCTCCTAAAAAGAAAAATAAGCGTAGAGCCCTGGTATGCATTTCTTTATTAGCTTTTATTCATTTTTATTCCTTTCAGCACTTTGGGTTTGTTCGTCTGCTTGTTCATTGATGTTTTTGTATGTCTAAGGTATATTTGATCATCAAAAAAAAAAAACCACCTTCGTGACCCCTGGCCCCGGCTCTAGTTAGAATGTAGCGTGTCACCGTGTGACATATCAATTTCATGTCAAGTATTTCATTCTTTAGTATAGCCAGTTTTCAAAAGCTGCTAGTCGCTGTTAAGAAACATTTCATTTATATAATGTTTCCCAAATGTTTTACACAAAGACCATTTTACACAGCGTCTGTTTCGCTTCCCATGCTCTCTCTGCATCTCACCTCCGCAGCAGATGATGGCAGCCACGAACAGTGCCAGGTCGCTGTCGTCGAGCTCTAGGGCATTGAACCTCATGGCGAACTGAAATTTCGGCTCCATCATGTCGCTGAAGGGCTTACGCAGACTCTTTAGAAATTCTCGAGTGATGAAGCCTCCGCCGTGAGCCACCAGCAGCCCGTCTTTGTTCATGCAGGAGGCCAGCAGAGCGAAGAGCGCCTCGTACACGCCGTACTTCAGCAGAGTCACCTGGTCGTTGAGGTCTAGGGCGGCAAAGCCAGGCACGGCCTTGGCGAACTCTGTCAGCTCTGTGACCGTCGCCACCGAGGCGTACTGGCAGAACAGAAAGAGCCGGGCCTCCACTTCCCTCTCCCGCAGAGTGGAGACGTCTCCGGACGCCATGTTGCCCAGCAGCTGGGTGAGTAGTTTCTGCTCGGCGTGCTGGAGAGTGTCCATGTCGTGGATGACGAAGGGCTACGATGAAGGATGGAGAGAGGTCAGACCGTGCAACTCAAAGTGTGCTGAATAGCTTGTGCAATTAGTGATCACTGTTTTCTTAATTAGCAATTGATATCCTCTCAGTGTTGGGGAATCTACTTTGAAAACACAGCTTGCCAAGCTACTTCATTTAGAGTCAGTAAAAAGCAGTCAAGACTTTTGAAAAAATAGTTACTTAAAGGGTTAGTTCACCTAAAAATGAAAATTCTGTCATTAATTTCTCACCCTCATGTCGTTTCAAACCCGTAAGACCTTCGTTCATCTTCGGAACACAAATTAAGATATTTTTGATGGAATCTGAGAGCTCTCTGACTCTCCCATAGACAGCAAGGGTACTACCACGATCAACGTCCAGAAACGTAGCAAGCAGATCGGTAAAATAATCCATGTGACATCAGGGGTTCAACCGTAATATTACGAAGCTACGAGAATACTTTTTGTGCGCAAAAGAAAAAAAAAAACGACTTTATTCAACAATTCGTCTCCTCCGCGTCACCCTGTAGCGCCATTTTGGAGAGTTTGAATTTCTTTCTTCTGCTGAACACAAAAGAACATATGTTGAAGAATGCTGATATTCATAGAGTTTCACTTTCCATTGACTTCCTCTGAATGGACAAAAAATACATTGAAATTAAACAGGAACCAAAACTGTTTGGTTAGCAAAATTCATCAAACTATCTTTTTATGGTCTGCAGAAGAAAGAAAACCATACATGAACGAATGTGTTGTAAAAATGACTTTTAATCAAAATTTTAGGGGGAACTTAATGCAATCATTTTAGGTTAAAGGGTTGGGGTTTGGCTGACAAAAAATTTGGGAACCCTCTGCTATAATGGACAGCGTTTAAATGTCGCCTCATTTTGCTCAGCTTTAAAGTTGTGTGAGCAATACAACATAAATGAAGAGTGAGTGAGTGATTCCCCAACACAGCAGTCACTCACCGGAGTGCTGGTCTTGCCTGTGAGAAACACACGTGCTTTGGCTTTGTTCATGTGGAAGTGTTTGAGGTAGGCTTCATGCATCTGCTTGGCCAGACTCTTTGTGTCCGGCTGCTGGGACTCGTGCTCCTCTTTCACGCTGACGTCCTGTTCTGCTTTCAGCCTCTGCTTTTCAGATTGGGGTATCCGCCCAAAACGGATAGCTGTAAGACACACACACACACACAGTACCAATGAAACCAGATGCAAGCTCATGCATGCTTCCACAGACAATGTACTGTATACAAACAAAGCAAACACATATACATACGAGCTTGGCAAAATGTTAATACGAAGGCTGATAAAAAAAATAAATACAGTAATTAAAAAATGAATAAATATTTTTTTTCCCTTTCTTCTCTGCATTTCTCATCTTTTCTTGTTTCCTTCCTAATCTAGTTTTCTAATAAACCTGACATTGTATATTATGATTCTTGTTGGTTTTTAAAAAAAAGTGCTTTTGTTCCTCTTTTGTAAGTTGCTTTGAATAAAAGCATTTGCTAAATGCATAAATGCCATGTGAAATGTTACTTTAAATAAATAATGATTTGTTACTTAAATAATTAAATTAATTAATTGTATATGTTAGTTTTATTTCCACTTCACTGACCAACAGTCTGCTGTGCTGCAACTGCATTTGTCAATATGAGGAAAACTTAATATCGCAGATAAAATACATGAATACAACTAACAAACACTTTTTAACTGCTGGTCTATGTGCAGATCCATACTGGAATTGCTCGGATAATAGGAAAATCCCAAAACTCAAATTTGGGTCAGGGGCACTGATTGTGCTCATTTGATTGCATTATTTTTTTAAATAATTAATCATGGTACTTTAGCGTATTGAATCGTCAACCCCGGTTTATACACAAACCAACAGTAGTAGAACTTTAGGTCATCACACTGCTTGCTGCCACTTCATCAGTACTGGGACAAAGGGCAGACGTTGGGGTATGGGGGGAGGGGGGGCTGTATGGTGTGATATGAAACAGATCTGCCTCGGAAGGGATTGCGCTAACAGTGGCACATGACATTAGCACATTAGCCCTGGCTAACAGAAGAAATTATTCTCGGTTCAGGTCAAAGTCTCGTGAGAGAACGGGACGGCGTTTCTTCCGTGTCATCTGGTTCATC